TTTTTTTTTTTAGATGAAGATGACCAGTAGATCTTATGTAAATTACTCCCCAAAATTAAAAAATGTTTCATAATCCAGGGGCCACAACATCAGCCAGATCGATTAGGTAATATCAAGTTTGAAGAAAATCAGCTGAACAGTTTTGCTGTTAGCGTTTATCACAGACAGACAGACGTTTTGCCGTCAATCGATTTTTCGGTATTCACTGTATTAGGTTCACCAGAACCAGGCAAAAAGGTTTTTTCAGGTGAAATTTTGGCATTTTTTGGCACACAATTACATAATTTTCTCTTCTTATGAAGAATTCGTAAGGCGTGAAAGTAAAAATAAAATTTGATTGTGCATGTTTTGCCCATTTTTACTCTACATCATGTGGCATTGTAGCATTTGATAGTGCACGGAAGCACTGTCTCTAGTAATTACATTTCATTTTTTTCATTTTCATTCATTCTAAAATTATGATTTTAAAAACGAGAGAGAAAATAACTACCACTTGCTCACGTATGAATATGAACTAATGTGTGGTAGTCAAATGAAATATTAAATTTCCTTCTTCATTGTATGAATGCCGGTTGACCTAATGATGTCGATCCTGCACATTTTTATTTTAAAATTAGATTTTTTTTATACTTCTCTAATGCTTTTGCAAAAATCCTTGTCTCACAGCAAACAATTCAAGCTTTACAGCTATGATCACACTGAAGAGTATTTCAGAATAGAACCTCCTTGCCTGAATGCAAAGGGTAGCCCTTAATTCAAAAGACACTCATAAAAGCATGTACACAAACAAAAACACGTTCAACATATAATTGAACAACTTTGTAAGGAAAGGTATTTCTGATGTGTACATTGAAGAAAATTTATTGATTTTAATACAAAATGAAAGCTTGCCAACATAATCACCATCAGTGGCGGATGGTGCCCTAATGAACTGGGGGTTGTAGCTGTATCGAATGACTGAAATGTAATTCTGAAACTTCAAAATACTATTTATTATAAAACATAAATTGATTAAAACTAAATTTAATAAAATTCTTTACTGAAACATTACTTACTTAATTTTATGTGTAGTGTCCATGTCAGGTACATTCACCTTCTGTGTACATGGGGTCTGGTTTCAATTCTAGAGGACACTTGAGTTTTGTAGTAGTTCCACTTTGAGACAATTTCCAGTTAGAGAATTCATATAAAACAAAAATGATCTAGTTTCAGATGAAGATAGAAAATTGGTATCAGACCCTTGGATTATAAGTTGGGAAAACAACGGGGGGGGCCATATGTTGAAGCATAGTGATGCAAAGGTATAAGAGCGTGACATGGTGCACTGCCTGGGAGCACACAAGACACCAGAGAGACCACTCAATGGATGCTTAATCATTTCATATACTTAAATATTGATGCACCAAGCTCTAGAACAATATCACTGAAATGAAATTACCTCAGGTTTAACAAAACGTATTTCTGCTCATTGTTTTCAAATACCAATGATACCAAACATATCTAACAATGAAGTTTCAATTTATTCACAAAACATTTATTTTAAGTCTTATATTGTACAGAAAATCAATTAACCTATTACATTACAATAATATCACTGACTTCAGGCAATTCAGTGACCTTGAAGAAGGTTTAAAAGACCATCTTTCATTATTTTCAAACTTGCCAAGTCATTTTGAATTATGTCAATCAGGTGAGCCATGCCATTCTGCTCCATCAACAAAAACTGAAATAAATTAAAATTAAGTTATTAAAAAAATTAAAATAAGAAAGTAAATTATCTTTTTTATAAACTGGAACTAATAATGCATTTTTTCAAGTTATATCGTTTCATATCAAACTCTTACTTGTTTAATATCTTCTTGAACCCCAGGATCCATTGCGTAACGCTCTGCCTCTTTATTTGGTAACTGCAGGCTATGAGTACGCATTTGTGAGAGTAACTCATTTAATCGGGCCTAAAAGAAAATTCATATAGTGCATATTAATTGACAATACAATATTTTTGTTCCAACATCAGTTTTGAATTTTCATTACTTCATACTGTGAAACATTACTGAACACATTTAAAACACAGTGCCATTCCCTGAAGGTCATAGTTACCTTAAATTGTGTGGGAGCACTAAGCTGTACTTGTAATGATTCCAGGCGACCGCGAAGTGCCTCTTCTTCAGGCTGCAATGCAAGGCCAAGTTTACGGGATACTTCTTGTTTAACAAGTACTTTCAATACTCTATGTTCCAAATCAATAAAACGTCGTCGATGTTCAGCAATTTTAGCTAGCGTTGTGGCATGACGACGCTGAAGGGCAGCAATATCTTCACTGACACGTTCCAGAAAGAGTTGATGAAGACGAGTTTCTTGTTCTTGGCATTTTAGACGCCATCTGACTTCAGCAAAACCAACCATTGGCACAGGAATATATCTAGCCAACAAAATAAAATAAGTCTAAATTGAGAGCAAGAGCACTAATACAGAAACAAAATAAAACTTACAGAAAATACTTTGGAAATTATTACCAAATACATTTTTTTGACATTATATTAACAATAATTGGGGTGGAGTTTCCAGCTAGTATTATAGACACTCAGTGCAACGATTTTTAATTTCTTATTGCCAAAACGTTTTCTTCTTCATAACTTCACAATGTTTCATGGTCAGGCCTGAACACATCAGGCAAAAAAACACACGAGGTTATACATGTAAAATACTATCACTACTTAAAACACCTAACCAATGGAAGATGTTAATCGATGTGTATTCGAAAAAATATTTGGAAGAAATGGGGGGGGACTAATAGGGAAGGCAGACAGGAGGTAGGGGAAATATAATTTTCCTTAAATATTATTAGAAGTCTATATATGTGAACTAGCAGAATTAATTCTCCTAGGAAATTTCAATCGATAAATACTTTAATTCAGACAATCATAGGAAGAATTTTTTTTATTAATTATTTGAAAACAAATGACTGATTAGAAAATTTAAGAATGAAATTTCAATATTGCACCTTCTGTTGCAATTAAAGCATTGCCTTGACTACATCTCTCATCACAGTTCTTCCTTTTGTTAAAAATCCAAAAATCTTCAATCAATTAAAAATTAATAAAAATTGTCCTCATGAACATGAAGTATGACAAGCAATTATCACAATTACCTACATAACCACGTTTCTGAATTAGATTTTCTTTATTTTTGCTTTCAATTAAATACTTACTTATCAGGATTTGGATTATCTAAACGAGCTTGTTTCCACAATCTAGGGTCTATACCAGCTGGGGCATTTGCAAGATATTCATCCAGTTGTTCTTTATCAGGCATGATCTATAAGACCAAATAAATGCAAAATGAATCAATAACAATATAGTAAATACCTTAACAAATACTATACAAACTTTTAGTATGAAAATTCAAACTCCTAGTTATCTAAACAATTTTGACTGCTGGCCTGGATAGAAGAGATCACTAAGGCTTAAGTGCCGTGAGTTCAAAACCCAGCCAGGACATCGATGTTTGTGTGTCCATATACTGTTACCCCCAATGTTACTTACAATTGGAGCTATATGACCTTAGAAGTTGAAAAGCGACCTGTGTGTGTGTGTGTGAGTGAGTGAGTGTGAGTGAGTGAGTGAGAGTGTGAGTGAGTGAGAGTGTGAGTGAGTGTGAGTGAGTGAGAGTGTGAGTGAGTGAGAGTGTGTGAGTGTGAGTGAGTGAGTGAGTGTGAGTGAGTGAGTGAGAGTGTGAGTGAGTGTGAGTGTGAGTGAGTGTGAGAGTGAGTGAGAGTGAGAGTGTGAGTGAGTGTGTGTGTGTGTATATATATATTCATCCATGCTTTGTGGGTCCTTAATACAGAAATTCAATTGAATGAACATTCTCCTAAAGATTCACTCTTAACAGTATGCAAGAAAGAATGATTGCGCAGTCTAAAAATATCTGTCCAACAAAATATTATGTACGGAATAAATACTAGCACACTTTTTTTCTGCAATGAAGATTATTTAATTTAGATCTTAGGAGAATGACATCATAGTCATGATTGTCTGGGGCCATTGTCATGCCAATTTTATGAGCAAAAACCCGTAGGAACTTGTTTTGAACTCTTTCAATGGTTGATATACTTGATTTTGTATATGGGTTCCAAAGAGGTGATGCATATTCAAGAACTGCTCTAACAAGTGCTCGATAGAAAACCAAAAGGGTCACAGCAGATCAAAACTGCAAAGAGTTTCGAAAGACAATACCCCTTATTTTCAGTGCCTTAGAAATAACACTGAATATGATTCCCAAAAGTCAGCTTACCTTCAAACATGGCATGTATATAATAGTTTTATCGTACATATGTGTAAATTTATATAATAGTTTTATTGCAGGGTTGTCCAACTGGCGGTCCGCGGTCTGCGGTGACATTTATTGCGCCCCGCGAATGCTTATCAGTAAAAAGTGAAAGTTCCTTGCATCTATGTCGGCCAAGAGCATTGCCCACCTACCGCATGCACCTCACCTAGGTCAAAACTCTCTTAATGAAAAAATAGGTTAAGTTTAAATTTAAGATGTTTTTCTAGTAAATTCAGAATTTCAAAATCATCCCATTGTGTTTCTCTGAGTTATGCATGGTACTGCCTGATATCTCGCATGGTTCCATTCCCCCCTTTCAGAGCAGCATTGCTGAACTGCCGAGACTATAGGGAAATCAGGTGTGGATGGCCCGAGTACTGTAAATATGGCCAACAACAACAACAACAACAATAATAATAATAATAATGATAATAATAATAATAATGATAATCTCCAACTGGGGTGTACATGATGTAGTTGATGGTAGAGCTTGAGTATCTCAATGACCCTGAGAGCTATACCGGAGGTAGCGTAGCTAATGGTAGGGCCTCCCTAGCCGGACAGGTCGAAGGAGAGAGATGAGACTAAAAAATACTCCAGAAAAGGAAGCAGCGCCTACCAAGAGCGGCAGCTGACACCGTGGGAAGGCCAACGTCTCCGAGGGCGAAAGAAGACGCAGAGTCCCACCGGCTTAGGAAGCGAATGATCGGACACCTTAAACTTTCTCTTAAGGAAAGGAGGGGCCTCTTTAGGCAGGCGAAGCAAACCCTCATAGGGGAGTCAACCCTAAAGAAATCCTGCAGGCGTAGCAAAGTGGCAGCCCCACTACTGGGGCTAGCGCTAGCGATAGCGTTAAAACGCTAGGGGAAGGTGACCCCGAAAAACAAACCCGCGATGGAAGATCCCCTAGAATCAACCGTTACGGTGCAGGGGATCGGAGCTCCAGTACCGGCAGTCAGGGGTGGGCAAATATGCCGCCGGCGGTGGTCATCCAACGACTGAAATGACAGAGACGTGGACCACTCGGCGACTGTCAGATAATGCGTCAAGTGAAACTCCGGTTCAAGTAGAGCCCACGCCTGGAAGGAAAAGGAATGCTGTGGACTGGGCGCCGGGAAGCTATCCAAGAGCTGATGAAGGATAATATAGAGAAAATAGGACGTTTGCATACCCAGCTGTCATTGGAAAAAAATTGTTAAGAAATAATCCTGTGATAGCAAGGAAAACTTTGGCCACAGCACAAGAAGATGAGGGGACACTTCAGAACAGATGACAGGACATCAGCGAAGAGCAAGAGTGGATGCATGATACATTGCTCCTCCTGAGGAAGGGCGACGTTCATGCCGAGAATACAAGGCACGGCAAAAAGAGGGACGGTGCTTCAAAGGATACAGCGCAAGAAGTAGCAGAAGAGAAAAGAGCCTTCAGAGATCCTGATCTCTCTTTCAATTACGAAAGAGCAAGTCAAGGCAAGAAAAGAGAAATTGGATGCTACGCGAGCACAAAGGAAAAAGAGGGCGGCACCTAGTTCACCAGAGGACTCTAACAGAAGGGACAAGAAAGATAATCAGAATAAAGTAATCACGATGGAGAATACTCCTGGAGGAAGCCATAAAAATCAGAGAGAGGTGATAGAACATCTTGAGATGAAAGGAAGCCAAGAAGAGGAGCGCTGGGAAGAGCAGCAAAGAAGTAAAAGGAAAAATAGCTAAAAGAAAGTGTAAGTCAGCGAGCAACCTCACTGCGACAAGTAACAAGATGCTACTGGAAGAGCCGGCATAATAATGCATAATAAGTCGCTGAGTACCAGGAACCACAAGAGAACGAAACACGGGATTGTATGACTGGAAGTGGGTAATATGAGAATTTAGAGCTGCTATTTTTCACCGAATGATACGTTGGAAAAATTCAGAAAGATATCGATGAGCTGGAGGGTAGCTTAAAAACGTCCAAGTGCGATGTATTAGTGGCAGGCGAATTCAATGGTAAGTCGCCTGAATGTGGAGAGAAAATAGAAGAGGAACTATCATATGTGAATTAATTGCAAGAAATGATCTGATCTTAAATTGTGGGGACGAGTACACCTTTCAACATGGAGTCGCATCATCTATTCTGGATTTGAAGTTCCTCCAAGGCATCACTGATTGGTCGGTGCTCGACGAAGAAACCCTGAGTTACCATCGGTACATAGGATATTCGGCCCCATTAACGGAGGGGCTGCAACATGTCAAAACGCGATATAAAGGCGGACCACCTTGGAATCCCAAAAAAATGAATGAAGGCAAAACGCTCCCTGGAAGATTCCAGGTTGCTGTTTTACACGGGTTGAACGAAAGAGGCGGAAACGCTTGATATGGTCAAGGCAACGGAGGAAATAGTGGTAGAAGCTTGCGACGCATCCATGCCTAGACGTATATATCCGAGGAGGAAATGCATTGCTGGACTCCAGAAATAGCTGAACTACGAAGTAACTTAAGGCAAGAAGAACAGTGACAAGGGCAAAGACGAATCCGCACCTGAGGGAGCAATATAAAGAACTGTCCAAACGGCTTAAGAGAGAAATAAAAAGAACTAAAGGAAGATGCTGGAAAGAGCTCTTAGAACAGATAGATAACGACCCATGGGGCATGGCTTATAAGATAGTAAATAAGAAATTCAGGATGAACAGGAAGATACCTGGTTTGAATGATCCACAATGGATGAGGAAAGCTATTAGGGACCTCTTTCCCACTAGAGATCCCTGGATGAGACAAAGACAGCGACTTCACGATAGACGAACTGAAGAGAGCGACAAAAAACATGAAAACTGGGAAGGCCCTATTTCGAGAATTTCGATGCAATTCCCTATGAAATACCAAAAATAGTGGCACAGGAGTATCCGGAATGCCTTTTGTCAATCTATAATCGCTGCCATGAGGATGAGAAATTCTTCAAGACGTGGAAGAGACAAAAGCTGGTACTCTTCCGAAAGGGCAACAAGCCGGTAGATCAGACGTCATTATACAGACCACTGGGCCTCCTTGATACCATGGGCAAGCTGCTTGAGGGTTTAACACTTTCTAGGCTTGAAGGGCTCATATGCTTTTCTCACATGCAATATGGATTCCGGAGAGGTCGCTCGACGACGGATGCCATCCTGGAAGTAATCGATAAAGCAGACACAGCCAGAAGAAGCGTCGGCAAGAAGAAGGGATTCTGCTCGCTCGTGGGAATTAACATTACAAATGCCTTCAACTCCACTAGACATTATAGAAGCGTTAGTTAACAAGATGATTCCGGAATACCCCATAAGGATTACTGAAGACTACCTCCATGAAAGGACGATAACTTATGTGCACAGTATCAGCATAGAAGAGAATGTGACGTGTGGTGTTCCTCAAGGATCCAGACTTAGGCCATTTTTATGGAATGTCCAGCATGATATTCTAAGCATTCACCTGCCGAAAAATACGCAGCTCATAGGCTATGCTGACGATACGCTAATAAGCCACAGCGATGACATTAAACTTCTCGAATTGAAAGTGAACGAAGTGCTGTTTAGAGTTTAAAGATGGTTAGACGACAGCTACAGATGACAGTGCAAAAAAACCGAAGCTGTCTTATTCACCGATCTTTCACTCCCAAGACCTCTGATTGAGAGAATCAACTGGAAGCGCCAGGTATTTATATTATTAGTATATTTAGGAGTCGAAATAGACCATAGACTCAGCTTCGGGCCCCTCATAAATGTGATGGCAGAGAAGGCGGCGAGGACAGGAGCTAACATCGCAAGAATGCTACCGAACGTCGGTGGACCGAGAGAAGCCAAGAGAAGAATGATATCTGGCATAGTTCACTCACAGTTGTTGTATGCTGCTCCAGTCTGGGCGGGTTCGCTGAGAAGCTACCTATCAGACACAAGTACGCCAAAGTACAAAGACGAATGGCCTTGAGGGTGACGTATGCCTACCGCACAGTGTCTACTTGCGTAGTGCTGGTGTTGGCCAGTACACCACCTATCGACTTAATAGCCATGGAAAGAAAGAGGACGTACCTCGCCTTGAAGGAAGAACAAGCAGACAGTCACCTCCCTCCCAAGCAAATTGAGAGTATTAAAGCAGAAGCAAGGAAATTGAAGAATGGCAAGAAAGATGGGATGGGGATGTGAAAGTCAGATCGGTTGACAACAAACATGGAGAGATGGGTTAGCCGAAGTTTTGGAGAGGTGAGTTATTACCTGTCCCAGGCTCTTACTGGGCATGAGAGATTTAATAATTACCTCTACAATTTCAGGATCATAGAGAGGCCCACATGTAGTCTCTATCACGCAGACATAGATGATGCAGAACAAACTATTCCAGTGCGAGGCGTGGAACGCGGAACGAGAGGTTTGTAATGTCAAACTCCAACAAGTTATAAACCCAGACATGGTCGACATGATGCTGAGCTCGCAGAAAAAATGGAAAACAATAGAGAACCTCATAGTTAGTACTATGAAGAAATAATTAAGATTGAGGAAGTAGAGTATCTGCTACCAGCCAATCTCCTGCGTGAAGAAGTGTCTAACGACGGTTTCCGCGTAGGAGAGAATACGGTTTAAGAGACGGAGGTTAGGTTTTTCGTCGGTAACCCAGTTGGGAGTCCGACATCACCAGATTCACTGGTATCCATAGAGGATTTTCCTCCACTATAAAATAATAATAATAATAATAATAATAATAATAATAATAATAATAGTGACTTTATTTATGTTGCGAGACTTCGCCCATCAGGCTCGCTATTTCCCTTAACTACGAAAAGGTTTTAGTTGTGTCCCTTGAGGGCTTGCATGTTGGACATCCCTGTTTTATAGTTTTAATAGATTTAAATTTTGTGGTATTTCTGTTCAGAAATCCAAGCACATACATTGAACAATTAATAATAAAATTAACATAGTTATCAAAAATCTGTTTATTATCTATAAATACTATAATGTCGCATTTGATAGTAACCTTTTCCAAAATATAACTGTCTAGCACGTAATTACTATCAATCTCATTGTGACCATGATTGCAATGCAGAAGTTTACATTTATTGACATTACAATTTAATGAGCTATCTAAACACAACAACTTCAATCTATGCAAATCTTCCTGCAGTTGCAATGCGTCAGAGATTCCTCCAAAATTACAGTTATCCACAAAAACACTTAAATCAGAATATTGAAAAACTCCAAATATCGTTGAAGAATACCAAAAATAGCCATGGGTCCAGATGGGATCCATGAGGGATCCCAGATGTTACTAACATAGTATTGATTTATGTGATTTATACCTCACTATCTGTTTGAAATCTGTCAAATAACTCTTAATTCATCTCAATAGCATAGAATTTAAATTATTAATTGATCTCAAATACTTTTGCAAAATCAGTGTATATGACATCAACCAGTAAGCTGTGATCTAGTGCACTAACAACATTGTCAGTGAAAGTCAACAGATTCGTCAGAGTACTCCTTTTAGACAAAAAACTACGTTGCTGCTCAATAATCTAACCTTCAATAAAAGGCTTAAGAGTATCCAAGACTGCTCTCGAAAACCTTATCTGCACTTGATAATATATTGTTAGGTCTGTAATTAGTTACCAAATTTCTACTTCCCTTCTTATAAACAGGAGTTTTAAGGATCTTAGGAACTGGAACAAATTTTCCAACATGTGAGAGATTCATATATTTCCAAAGATTTCTCAAAAATGATAGAGAGAGAAACAGCAAAAGCATGTACACAGTCTTTCAGAATTCCCTGAGAAATACCATCCGGTCCTGTACCAAACCTTAATCTTAAGATAATGATCAGTCTTTTTTCTTTTTCTCATCACTTATCGCAGCATGATTTATAATTATGAAAGCTTGAAGTTAATGAAAATTATTAAAAAATTTTTTTCATTGTACGTAACCAAGAATGGTAAAGAAAATGGTGTTGGTCCAATGTTCGGTGGATTTTCGAAAATTGCAAAAAATTAACACTGCAGAAGTACAAAATTGAAGATAGATATGTTTTCCTTGCCATGTACATTTTTTTAAAATATGAGCAGTTTTGCATAATTTCTGGAAAAGTTTCGAAATTCCAGTTTCGAATTTCCTGCACTTTTCCGAGAATCTTTCAGGACTTACCATGGTGCAATATAATAATGGGAATGCTGTGACAGCAAACTGAAATTCTCTGAATAATTTCTCATCGTTGGGCGGTGTCTCTGGGTGAGCAACAGAATTTTGAATTGTCAAATTTCCGTTGATGAGCTTTAAATGAATTAAATTTTCACGCATAATGTGCTGCAAATGGTAATGATTTTTAATGGTGATGGCTGAGATGTGTTAATATGGATAGAAAATGTGGTATTATAATTTTAAGTCACTGTTACTGATTTAAAAAATTACATGCTGTTGTAGCACCACTAGTTCTTTTCTCTGATATGTCAACTACAAGTAATAAATGTAACAGTACAATCTAATATGACCTCATATCTCAAACCAAAAGCATTTTGATCAATGGCCATTAATTTGCCCATAATTCAGTAATGTGGAGGGAAAACATCATTTCAAAATCATGAATCGTTTAGAAATAATGAAGATGCGAATAGTTGGTGTGACACTATATTCAGGGTCTTTACCATGTATGATATGATGTGTCAAAAAAAACGCATCGTCAAATTCTCTAACTTTTCCACAAATACACTTGTATTTGTGAAAATTGCAACACCAAGGAAGTAAGGTTAAAAGAAGCGTGGAGAAGCTTGTGACATTGGCGTCAGCAAATGGGTGATTTCGACGCCTCTGCGAGTCCCTCGTGTCAAAATTATTGTTCTGGTTTAGAGAGAAGCGAACAGACGGTCTGGGATTGAGATTTCGCGTGGGAAGTACAGGTTTCGCGGTAGGAACGTATCGCAGGGAGCGAGACTCAATTGAGAGACTTTGCCGAACAATCATCCCAAGACTGAACGTAATCAACAGATAAACTTCACTTCGAGCCGTCATCTGACTTGTAAAACTTTCCTTCAAGACTGCCATGCGACAGCAGATACGACGCTGTTACGACTGCAAGCGTTTAACTTTCTTACGAACGGCGCTTCGTGAATTACGCAACTTACGAATGACAACAGATCTCACCGGTCCAAAAGTGGCGAGTGAAGTATGCAATTACCGACATGCAGTCGGCGAAAAGTCGAGATTTCTGTCGTCGTCCACCGGAGACGTGAACGCCGGGAGGTTGCATCATGGCGTCCCGCACATGCCGCCTTCCGGGTTAAGAGGACCAGCTAGCCACCGCCTTCCCCAACACCAGGCTCCCGAGCGGAACACAATAGCCGTCATTTAATGGCCTCCGTTTAGCACCATCGGCGCCACAACGCGCGACTTCCCATGGTCGCGTGGTCCCATTTGGAACCACGTTGTTCAAACAAATGCACTTCATTACTCAATAACCAAAAAGCACATCTGAGCCTAAATGTCATTTAACCCAGTGAGGCTCTGCACTGTAGATTTCCCTTAGCTCTATAGGAAGCGATCCCATCAAAAGATCTTCGGCTGCTGCTGGAGATTGGCTAAGCAGCTAAGTTAGTGGACAATGTCCAAGGCTGCTTGGAGATTTAGCCTGGTGTCCAAACCCTGGCCGCGCAAAATAGAGGATGGTACGTTACTATATTTATTTATTTATTTATTTATTTATAGTTACAATGGACAAGTGGTTACCTGATAAAGTCTGTGCTCAATTGTAGTTAATTTTGTGTTGTACAAAAATTAAAATACCACAATATATTGTAATTTAAGGCAGAGTAAATTTGTTCACATAATTAATAAACAACAAAAATTGTCTCAATAATGAATTGTGTGTACTAATGCAATAGAGTAAAATCAAAGGCAAAAGAGCATTGTAAATAAGCATTTGATGGCTTACCTGTCATCTTAAACATCTGCCTGTGCAATATACAAATATTGTTTACAATAATACATTTTTATGTTATTGTCAGAACAACCAAAATGTAGTATAATTACAAATTTTGACATCAAACTAATCAAAATTCTCTTGATTCTGTGGAACAAGAAGTTCTCAAAGAATTCTTTAGAAGATCAATTATTTAAAAAATCTATTTAAAATTCTCACCTGAGAGTAAACATTCTCAACCCCCCACTGAGTGAGTTGTTGTTTCTGCATAGTTTGCAAAAGATATGCTGTCAAATCAGTAGCAGGTATACGGCGTAAAGAACCTAATCAAGAAATCAAAGCATATTACAAATGTGTGCATTATATTATTAATGATTTTTGTACTGTTTATCCTTTCTATTATAGTGATTCCACACAACTCTAATAGTAGTTGATTCAATAACATTGGCAGTGAACACTGGAACAATAGCATCAGACTTTAAAATGATGTAAAAAAAGAAGAAGAAACGATTCCCACACCAATGCATGTTCATGCAGATACTAACATTAATGTGGAATTATTCTTTAAGAATTAACTTCTATGATTATACTCATAATATCAATATAAAGATGGATGTCAGTCTGTTAAATTCTCAGCCAAGTGGTGGCATTTGCCTTTTGCCAACTTTTATCTCTGATGCAAAAATATTTATTCACTTAAAGAGTGATAGTCATGAAATTGCATTTGGTTTCTTCTGTAGAAATGTAACCATTTTTCGGGGGGCTTTGAAACTTTTCATTTAGATTATGCACAAATAAATTGAACATTGCACCTCATGAGAAATTGATCAGTATATGTTTGCGAAGGAAAAGTTCACATCAGCAATCTTTACCTGATTTAAATGACACTAAAAAAAAAATTTATCGACTCTAATAACTATTAAGATTGATGTGAAAATTACAAAGATACAATGTAGAAATTCCATATCATTCTGGAAAAGAAATGTATATTGCAAATTTGCTAACAGAAGCAGCTTCAAATGGAAAAATCTATTCCAATTACAGGATGTGGAAATTTCAAAACTTGTATTATAGAGAGAATATATGGAGGATTGATGATGTCAATGCTCTTCCAAATCACCGAATATCAGGTAAGCAAGGTTTTCTTTCAATAGATCGGGGTGTGGGAGGCCTACATATGGCTGGCAGTTCCACCATGTGTAGGTCTCTGAAGCCTACATTTGGCTTTCATTTACTGTTCATTTTCCCTTGGTATAAGCAATAGTTAATTAGGGTTTAGTGAAATTTCAAACTGACAATAAATTTTAATAAGTTAATTTTTAATTCTGCTGAAAGACATTTGTTGAAAAGTTATTTCATGGATGTCCCTGGTTCTTCATGTAACAAAGATAAAATCTTCAGAACCAGTTATCCAAACTTTGCAGAGTTACTTTTAGTTACCTTTATTAATTTCATTAATTGATGTTCTGATTTTAATAAGATTTTTTAAATTTATTTTGTTCATGTTGATACTGATTCAGTTTTTGATTCCTCTTCCTCCTTATTCTTTATTTTTCAGAAAAATATCACTACTGAATTATTATACTACATAATTAACCTATTGAATTGAAAAGGTTTTAGAGAACAGCAAAGAGCACAAATTAATTTTAAAAAGGATCTGTGATATAAAACATGGAAGTCTGACAGGCGTACCTGCTGTCTGGCAAGTGAACATTGTGCAGTGAGGGTTAAACTCCAGGGGGTAATGCTAATAATTCTGGTAAAAAAAATATGAAAACTGTTTACATAAATGAAAATTATTACTGGTATGGAGAAATACTCCTAAACAAGAGACAAATGAAATAGTGTTAAAAGAATAAATATAGGAGTATTGAAACTCATAGGAGACCACTAGTTTGAAAATTTGGAATATGGAAAAGAGAGACTACACTTTATAATGATAAAATTATTGCAACAAACTCTAATTTACTATTCTTACCAGTAACTCCTTTCTCTTGAACAAATATTATTACTTGTGCTTTGCTCTCTGAGGTTGGACGAATAGTTTCAATGTTTAATGAGAGGTTGGGTTTATTGCCAAGTACAGCATTCAGATTTGTTACTAATTGACCTTGCTGTGCCCTAGAAATATTAAGGTATTATTAATAATGATATAAGAGTAATAATAAGAATAATATAATAATAATAATAAGAATATAATAATATAATAACATAATAATATAATAATAATAAAAATATAATAATATAATAATGTAATAATATTATAATATAATAATAATAATACGTTACTAAATAATTAATTTCACAAAATGAAATTATTTAATTTTGTTATTAATTGCTTAAAATAGCACACAAATTAAGAGAAATGGATATTCAATTCCAACAAATCAAATTTTCACTTACTTCAGTTCTTCCTCTTTCTTATTGAACGATATTGCTACTAAGCCTTCTTTGTTGTCTGTCACAGGAATACAACTGTATCCAATAGCTTTGAATCGGCAAAGGGGATTTTGTAAAGTGAACTCCACTGGTTCTGCTGTGCGTGAATAGTATCCTGAAAAGAAAAAGATAACTTCACTAATAAATATGACTGTCCAACAAAAATAATAGTAATATTCATCATCTAAATTATGATCAACTAACTAGGATAGACCCATTTGTCTGTTCTTGTAATCCAGAGATTAGAAATTTTAGTTGCTGTAAACTCAAGGGATCGCATGAGAAACTTTGGAAACCAGGCTTTATTATTTGATGTAAAATTTTGCTTGAGAATGTTATATACCCTTGTGAATTTCAGCACCTTCCCCATAATTGTGTATCTGCAAGAGCCATTAGGTTCTCGCCACTTGATTGCGGCCTTTCTGTCGACTTTGAAAAATCTTGAATGAACTTCTTGAGTCGCAAACCTACCGCGCACCGTCCTACATTGGACAAGAGGCATTATTACTCTTTTTAACTTTGATAATTAAATTAATATTTAAGCCAAATTTGCCTCTTCATTTATCATTCGGCCGATCCTATCATTCCTCGTACAAGCTAGCTCTCTGGCTACATCGTCGAGCTACCGGAGACCGATATGTGTGTACTGTGTAAGCACAGAGTCCAGGCATCGTGGATGGCGCCGTGTGAGAGGTGGGTACGTGGCGAGTACCGCGCATCTGTACGCTTTCACACGACGCGGACGCGCGGTGCCCGCACAGACTTGTAATAATCAGTCACACATAGGGGTATTGAACTGTAAAACAAAATACGAAGTGAAAAACTCGCGAAGATTACTATTGATACAGGATCTTCGGGACAGATCGCAAAATCAGATTACTTCGAAAGAAAACATCTAGAAACATGTGTTTCGGAGGATTTGTGTTCACACATTTTGATAAATGTCTTTATGAAATAACAAAAAGGTTTGTTTTCCCAATTCGCAGCACTCTTGAACTCTGCTAATCTCCACTTCCTCTTTGTGGGAATTTTTCAAGGGCTCAAGATTGCCGCGTGCGTGAAATCCACTGCCTCGTTCGTCAACGATTTTCCCCTAAGTTTAGACTGAGTTGAAAAGCATTAAAAGTTTGTTTTGCCAAGAGCTAGGTTTGAGTTAACTTAGTTTGAGATAACTTATAGTGAAGTTGCCTAATAAGGGAATAATTAAATATTCATGATTCGTTAGGCACTTAGACAGCATAGGCGGCGACCGTCAGGTCATACGCTGCGGCAACTTTCCATTTTCTGTTTTTCCCATTCAAGAGCACGGCGGAAGTTTTTCGCGCTGCAGAGTGGGTTGGGGTGGGTTGGGGTCGGGAGGGATGAGAGAGACATGAGCAAGAAAACATCTCTAGGCGATTCTGTCCAATATGCTTCAGAAACAAAGGTAATACTGAAGATACAGAGGCAAGTTATGACCATCAATTTATTAACCAACGTAACAATTGATAATTATTATATATGAAAGTCGACTCGGAGAGAAATCAGAAAGATATCTCGTAAAACATTACTGCCAAGCTCTTTATTATTTAAAACAATAATGTATTATTATTATTATTATTATTATTATTATTATTATTATTATTATTGAAACTGAGCAAGCAAATAAGAAAACCTTAATACAATTATTAATAATACCAATAAAACAAATCAGTAGTAAATTAATAACTGAATATAATTAAGAAAAATAATTCATTAAAATGACAAAAAACTGTCCGTCGAGTAAATGTTCAAATAGACCACCATTTGCCAAGAGTTAGGTGTTTCAGTGTAGTGGCTGCGGTACGTTGAAAACTAACAAGGACAGAATAAGTGCTTTCTCATTCTTCCAATTAAAATTAGCCACATTCTCTAACTCCGAAATCTGAGGGCACGCGGCCGAGGGTCGCTTAAGTGAAAGGGATGCTAAAGGTATTTCATGCGTCGCAAATTGCCAAAACAAGAGGTAATGTTTCCAGACATGGATTGCGAGTTAAGCTAAAGCTCCTGTATTTTGTTGAATACGTTAAGACGATTTTAAATACATAGTTCTTATATTCTTAGCAACTGACGCAATTAGACAGAATGTACGCTTCCTATTACGCCATAATCAATTCGCAACCACCTCAATTAACAGCCGATTTTCGTCGGAACCGCCAGTGACCGCTTAAGATATTCCTATCCTGTAATCTGAAACGTCACCCCCATATAAAAATGACATCGTTTGATCACGAGAATTAATATAAGTAAATACAATAGGTAAATCGAGGTAGACGGGACGGAGGCCTTGCTCAAACTAAAGAAAACTCGAATTATCGAAAATAAATAATTTATTAAAATAGAATAATCAACACAACTTATTATACAATTAAAAAGTCGTTCAAAGGCGACACAACTTAACTAATTGTTGTTTGCGTTGGCACAATTTAACTAATTGTTGTTGGGCGTAACAATTCTACCACACCGGTTCAACAATGCTTCGAATCGACCAAACAACAATAAAAAATAGATGTACATTTTTCATGTCTGGGTCATTTTTCGGGAATATATTTATTTTCATTTTTTTTGGTAAGTCGGATGTAACTCGGATTTATGGGAAACTCGAACAATCGAGACTCTACAGTATAGCAAAACTTGTCATGAAGTCCTGAAGCCCCTGCCGACCTACCTTGCCCTTTACCCACTTTGACCTTTGTCCCACATAATTCCTGGTCCAAAACACGAGCCCTTTATGGCAAATGTACGTAAGGATCAGGTACGGGATTTATTTCTCTGGATTTGACAGTTCACACGCCCAAAAACCGTTAGATTCTGTCCCAGCGGTTGATTTATACCGGGGGGGGGGGTGGGGGGGGGGGGCTGGTGACACGAGATGCTGCTGTGCAAATTTCTTCTTGACCCGCAGTTTTGACGGGTCTGCGCGTATTCAGAGCTCGTAACTTCAAAGGAGGGCAGAACATGATAGATCTTCAGCACCTTCAGTACGCAGAGATGAAAAGCGGAGGATAAAATGGCAGCATCTTTGGACACTTTTTTGTCTTTAGGATGATGATGATGATGATGATGATGATGATGATGATGATGATGAGCACCCTCAGATGCCGACATTCAGAAATCGTTTGTACTCATTTCTAACTAGCGAGTCATGTAGTACCTCAATTAAATATGCTACAACTATTTTCATTTACGAGTAACTACTTTTGCCCACCTACTTCGTAAGAAGAGAAAGTATTTCAATCGTGCACCTGAAAAAGGTGAATTTTTGACAGAAACACTTATTGCGGGGCAATTTTAACGAAAAGGTGGACAAATCCTGATGCTATGTAGAAAATTACGTCCTGTAACCCAGGGTTTGACAATTTTTTCGTTTTATGGGTCTTTTTAATGTGATTTACGGTAAAAAGTATTTGTTTCATGAATTCAAATTTCAAATACGAAATTTTTTGTAATTAAACAACAGTAGGTACTGAAGCACTATTGGAACAAGTCAAATTACGCGATTTATTTCAAAATAATATTTCCGAAGATCTGACCACCAATCTAAATTTCCCTATTATAATTAAAAGCCGGATTATCGTAAGAGTGGTGGGTTTTCAGGCCTACAAATTGAAAGTAAGTATAATACAAAAGCCCTAAGATCATATAATAAGCGGCGGCGATGGTGTGACGGTTAGCGTACCGGGCTGTTATACCCAAGCTCGCGGGTTCAAACCCGATCGAAGCCGTGCCAAAGCCCAATTTTTTGGGCGACAAAATCCTTCGTACGCCTTCCTTCGGAGGGGAAGTAAAGCCGGCCATGTTAGTAGACTTACTTGCATGTAAAATATCCTCAAGCCTAAATGACGCCTCTGAGCTAAATTCAAAATCGCCTGTTCTCGCCCAAGAAATGCCTCCTTTCTCTGCTAGATGAAAGGAGCGTAGCGAAATTTGTTTGGTCAGGCGGAAGAGCGGGCCTGATGGCCCGAGTCTATCCACGTAAAATAAGGCAAATTCATTTCAATAATAACCAAGCAAGGACGGATTAAATAATATTGTAAATAAAATTTAAAAAACTATGCCAGCCAAAATTTGATTATATATTTAAAACATTAAATGAAAGGATGGTATTATTGATTAAAAATTAAAGAGAGGATTGAGAGGAGCATTTCAATGTAGTAAATGTGGTAAATGTGTTCCTCACATGATCTGCCAATAACACTTGCAAACATATACATTACAGAACATATACATTACAGTAGTGTGCATAAATATTCTGGAATTGAATTACTTACAACAATAACAAAGGTTTTTCTGAGCTTTATATAGGAAGAGGCAGATACCAAGTGCATATACAGGATTATTGCTATCAAATGTTACTTTCCAAGCAAGTAACTCAACTACACCACATGTATACTGTCATAAACAGCATGCTCAGCTGTGTTCAGAAAGAGCATACTTTTATGTCTATACCTTTATTTGTGAAAAAACATTTTTACTAATTATTCTACTATAAACTCTCCTTACCCTTGCCTGTTCCCCACAATGCCTGAAGAAGATTCCATCTGGCTAGAGTGGAATCCCTTTCATCTCCATAAATATTGCAATTAAACACAGCATTGTATAATGCCTCCAGAGGATTTGTTACACCATCAACGGTAGGCTGCTGCTGTTGTGGTTGCTGTTGTGGCTGACCGCAGGCCTGTAAAACAATATAATGATATTTTCTCTTAAGCAAAGCATGTGCATATACAGAAGAATGCAGCATACGTAGTTTATATATATATATAATATATAATATAGTATATATATATATATATAATATAATATATATATATATATATTATATAACGGTTAGAAGATTTTCAACTTCACAATATTTTATAAATATTATTATATATAGGTTTATTATATTTATAAATATTTAATATTTTATAATGTACACTTCTCAATAAATTTAGTAATTAAGTAAGATTCATGAATAATATTTCACTCCTTCAAAACAACAATACTCACCAGATCCAAATGTTGATCCAAATCCAGATGAGAAACCGCCAAAACCTCCAAAACCTGTTGATGTGGTTGTTGCAGGTTTAGCCCCAAATACATTAAAATTTCCAAAACCTGAACCAAAAATTTACAATAATGTAGAATGCAATTAAAAACAAGATTCTTACAGTGCTGTTGAAAATTCATTATGTATATCTTAAATATTTTGAATTTCTCTGCGTAAAAGGTTTCTAATTCCAGTGATGCATCATGAATTTGGTTACCACAGAAACATATTTTTTATTGTTTCCTTAAATACTAGAACACAATAAAATCTATTAAAATTTATTTCATTTATTTTCTCAATTACATTACTTTGTTCTAATGTTAGATTATGGCTTCCTTCAATTTTTTCCCAAAGATACTTTCATAGCTTATGTAAAGAGAAATTTTACAAGAGACCTTTCTGCTGTTATTTTTCCTCATTTGGTTCAATTGTATACAACTCAATAACCCTCTACAAAATCTATAGCGCCTTATTTTCATTATTTGAGTTGCTTACTGAAATCATGTCAATAGTAAGCAATACCATTTCTTAAATTTTTTTTTCTTCCATTTTTCATCTTCTTTTTTCTTATCTTTTTTTCCCAAATACTTTCATGGTTATAGCAGAATAAGAATATAAAATAATGCCTCCAAACATTTTGCACTAACTCAGTGGGACCAGTAACTCAGCATTTTCTTTAACAAATTAGGTTTTCCCTCTTAAAAATACATTTCAATGTTATATGAAAGAAAAATTGTGTACCTACAATAATTTTGTACTAAGTTGAATTATAATAATTTGATATTACTACAGTATGCAGCGATGCCATAAAATGCAGCAATGGATATTTGAGAAGTTATTCTGAGAATTTCATTGTTGGGCGATGACATGGATGGGAGAGAGAAGATAAGGTTTTATTTACTTAATGTTAATGTTACAATGTCTCTATGTTCAATACAATGGAACACTAAACAATATTTAAGTCAGGAAGAATAGTAATAGACAGGGCTTGATTTCTGGCAGAAAAGCAACACAATGCTGTTCTGGGACCTTGCGAATAAAGATTAAATTATATTATAAAAGTATAACTGTTTCTATAAAATTAATATTTAATTTGGGGCGCATTCCGGAACCTAAAATTTTATCAATCCACCACTGTGTATGGATAAGCATAAGATGTACATTACATAATGCTACTGTACTTTTGTACGCATTCATAAGGCAATATGTTGGTTTTCAGTTCTGGATGTTCAATTTATATGTGAAATGATCCTTACTTGACTGTATAATGTGCTGCAAATAATGTGTGTGTAATAAGTGCTGTTGTTGCACCACTACTTTCGAATTCAGGAGGTCAGAAGCATTCGATGAAAGCAATATTTCATTCATCTAAGGATCTGATACATTTCGGTTTTCTCAGACAGTCTCGGATTTTCACTTTCTTGCTACCCCATATGCAATAGAGACAAAGGTATGTAAAGTTATGTAATGCTGCAGGAAACCAATGGTGTTGCAGAATGGCACAGATTTTCTCATTCTTGTTTTCTAATGTCTTTGGTCTGGCTAGCATTTCAGATTTGCCACACACTCTAGCCAGCTGTCATCTATGGCCCTAAATACCTTTTTTTTTTCAATTTTCAATTTTTCGGTTTTCTAATAGTAGAACCGAAATATTACTAAGTGGTAAAGCCTCATTTTAAAAGGAAATTTTCATTGAAAACTTGGAAGCCAGTTCCAAATTGTTTCTTTAAAATTTTGCTAGAGATAGTGGTTGGGTTAGCTAAACTGGTCATGATTAAATGTTACAGTTTGGTCGTACTTACGATCAAGGTAGCAATGATGCGACTTCATTGTCTAAGAAAGCGTGAAGTGTTAACGGATCTTTCTCTTTCTAAGTTACTCGCAACGTGTATTAGTTTTAATATTTGTTTTTATTTTAATACTGATATTGAAGATGAAGGTTCCCTGAAGTTTTTAGCACCTTCCTGCATTCTAGGTAATTTTATGGATCCTAACTGACCACTTGAAAATGAACTACCGGGGAAAAATGGGTCAGGTGACGGTGGGACGGTGGGGCACCATGGGTCATACGTTGCAATGCTTTTTCACATTTACCAGATATGGTTTAAACATACAAGAGAAAAACTACCGAAGGAATATACTAGGAAACGCATATGAAAATAGCAATTAATTTGGTTACAAAAGGTTGAAGCATAAGAAGTGCAGCTGATGAATGTGGTATCAAAAGGGCAAAATGTTAGGAAAAATTATAAAATCACTTTCTGGTGTTGAAGTTAAACTCAAATCAAACTACTGATATAAGCAAGTGTTTACTTATGTCTAAGATAAAGTGGGAACAGTGGGAGAGGCAGCAGTGGCGCAGACACCGGGGAGGCAGCGTTGGGAGTCAACGAATAGAAAGTATCCGAGAGGAAGAGTTTTACAGGGTAGCACGTTGCAAAGTGAAAGGTAGCGTCCAAAGCGAGATTCATTTTCCGGGAAAGGGTTAGGGGAGAGTAAAGGGGGGCTTTAAAGCTGTTGCAAGTAAACTCCTGAAGTGTTGTAAATAAGAAAATTCAAATTTAGAACTTAATTGAAGCATGAGAAGCTGACGTAGTGATTGGTACTGAGTCATGGCTAACTAAAGATGTATCGGAATAACAAATTTGTCGAAATGACTACAAACTATTTCGGTGGGACAGGGAAACTATATATGAGGGGAGGGGGGTGTTTATTTTAGGTAAACCATCTATAAAACGCGAACTTGAAATGAACGTATTGAGCTTGAAATGATAGAAGTAAACAGAGGCATGATTCAGAGGGGAGCAACTGCCCCTCTAATTTTGGGACAAATTAAAAACAAAATATATTTAGACATTTCTTTTTGCGGATCTTCAAATTTATATTTTTTTTCTACATTTTGAGAAAAAAATAATCCCGGTAACAGTATTTTGAAGTAACTGGCGAGTGTAAGTGAACGTGTGTGTGTGTGTGTGTGGTGTGTGTGTGTGTGGTGTGTGTGTGCGCGCGCGCGCGGCGCGCTGCGTGCGTGCGTGGGCGTGCGTGCGTGGCAACTCCAGTGATACGCCACTCACGGTTATACCACTTTTCATGCAAGAGGTGAATTTCGACGCGTCTCGGTCTCTTGATAATTTGTTTTCGGATGAAGCCATACGATTAAAAGAAATTTCAAAAAACGTGTTTTTGCATGTTTTAGAGCTGCCATTTTCGTGAGCATGACTGGGATTAAACCAACAAATAGATCTATGTAGGTAACGTTGAATACGACAAGTAAATCGCCGCGCGGCGATTTCAGATAATTTACAATAGTATTAACGTATTTCAAAAAATACATTTGCAAAATCCAACGGAAAGTATATCCTTGGAACTTATTAAACTTGAACTTAGGTAAATACAGAGAAAACCAAACTGAGTAATGCTACAGAAGCACACTGACATTCTTACGTTAGACTTCTCACAGTTAAATTCTTAAACGTACAAATACCGATTTTCAAATGAACGTGAGTAACACATTATTCTAATTAAAACGTAACGAACACCTTATTCACATAAACATACAAAACAGTCGCATTATGTTTATATAGATTCGCCTACAAAATGTTAAAGAAATAACGATAAATTGCAGAAGTAGAAGCGAACATAATTAGACTGACTTTGTGGAGTTTTAATCTCTTCAAAACTTAGGGGACAAAAATATGGAAGTGATAAGCAAATCCCGGGAAGAATAAAATGTAGTTTTGGAATATTTTGCGAGAGAAGTTTCGGAACTAATTGAGAATGATCTTATAAACGAATAACACTGAAGAGCAGCTTACAGATGATTTTTATGTATAGTCATGGAAACATATGGCGTAGGCTTCCGCTGCCGGAGTCAGTATTTACTAGGCTGTCCGGGTGACGCCGCGTCCATGGCGAAGGTGCCGACGTTTCGGCCGCCATTCTGCGACCGTCCTTCCCATTACGCACGGAAGGTCGCAGAATGGCGACCGAAACGTTGGCACCTTCGCCATGGACGCGGCGTCACCCAGACAGCCAAGTAAATAAATACTAAGTTTCGCATCGAAAATGCCTTGGCCCGAGAGGTTGATAGCGCTGGACATCCCTGCTTGCAGACAGTGCTATTTATTTTCGAAATCACGTTCTGTAGATCGAACCATGAAGATTAAATTGATTTTACTGGAGAGCGTATAAAATACTTTAGCATTCATTGAGAAATAAATGCTTATAGTAGGGAGGAAAGATTTTTTGACTCCTGCCAGTAAAATTGAATCGACATTAACTTTAGTAAACGTAATGTTGTTAACAAGTTTCGTCAATATGAAATGTGTTGTTATAAGAGGAGTGTTAGAAGTGCGAAAGTCACGAGTTCTAGAACTCGTGAAGAAGCGGGTTTGATTCCCAGTCTTCATACATATTTTGTCCATTCTACAGTGCCATAAAATCTACTAAATTACATCCTACATTTGTCTCATCAATTTTATGAATAAAACGGTCAAAACAAGTTTTCGCGAAGAAGGCGAATATTTCAATTCTGAAGAAATTAGAAAATTGATCGCTCGTATTTGAAATTAAAAATATGCATTATGTAATGTGGAGATAACAATAATATATGTTAAGCATGCACCGCTCGAGTATTTTTTATAACGATTCAGCTAGCGCAGCAGTGTTTGGACCGCCCATGCCTTTTTGGAGATTTTTAAAACATTTCAGCCGACATGAGCAGGACCAAAGCATAGCAACAAATCATAGCAACCAATAACACCAAAACATTACAAAAATATTTGTTTAAAAACAAAAAGAAAAAGTTCCTAACTCACGTGGAAGAATCAACATATCACTGCCTAATTTCAGTTGATAGAGTTTTCAGGCAAAAATGTTCAGAAAGCAATCTAAACACTGCCTCCCGCGTGCGCAATGCATTGGTTAATCGGGAGAAAAAGGATTTTTAATATACAGCGCTATTATTTTTACTTTTACAAAAATAAAATGATGTTTATATCGTAGAGCGCCAAAACTGACCATGAAAATGCGCTCGTAAACTAAAAAATCACCATCAACAGGAAGACTG